ATAATTACTAGAAAGCAGAAACACAAAATCGTTAACACTTTTTTATTATAGTAACGGTTAGAAGAAGAAATAACATTTAGTAAATAACTATATTTTTCATTTAATAATTTTAATTAAATTAAATAGCGTTTTATTAGCATTGAAAAATCAAATCAGTTTAACAAAATAATATACGTTACAAAAATTTAAATAAAAATAACTCCAAATTTTAAACTTTAAATATGTATAGAATTAAGTTGTGGAAAAACAAAATAATAGACCTAACCCACACAATTCCTAGTAAAATGTTATCCTTATATAAATGAAAACTAAACTAAATCAGCCACAATAGAACATTTATGCTCATTTCAATCTCAAAACAAATGCCTAAACTACTTTAAAATTACAACAAAACCTATAAAATTTACTTGTATTTAAAGCCTAAAGATAAAACAACAAGGTAATCAAACTATGAAAAAAGAACAACTACTTTAAGCGTGAATAAACTAAAAAAAATCTTTCAAATATATAAAAATATCTTCATTTGGTTAATGGTTCAAAAGGTAAGGTCTTGAGAGATATGGATCAGTGGTATGTGAGACTCCCTTGTGCTCACCCAAATTTTTCCATTCAGGGAAGAACGCCCATTTTATTGAAATCATTTCCTAAATGTATTGAGAATAAAAATCAATTGCTTTAAAATGCGATTTTATTTCTTATCGATTCCATCATTATAAAAGCATTTATTCTTTCTTAAAATATATATACACAAATGTAAAAATTATAAGAATTTTAAGTATAGAGTTGATTTGTTCATTTGCAGGAATGTAGAAAGTGATTTAAACTAAACATTCATTTCGAGTATTACTATTCAAAACAGAATATCTTTGGTTCATTTAAGGACTAGCTGTAATAAATAACAATCTATAATAGCAATCGTTCTTGTTATGTATAACATTTTGTCTTGGTCAGGGTCTTTTTGTTTTTCGGCATATTGTCGTTTTAATTCAAATTCGTACAAAGCCAAGCCGAATTGATGGATGAACGACGATAATTGTTTGCTGGCATAGCTAAAACTTAACTCGGGTTCCTGTTCCAATAGACAGGTACCTTTCAAGTCGTCATCCGACCAATGGGGTGGATCAACAATACCAGGATGTCTTCCCAGAAATTGTGGTAAAGCTTCTGTCGATACATGCGGATAGAAAACATGTCTCAATTCATAGTTCATATAAGTGGCATTGCTTTGGACCAAAGCCAAATTGAGATCATCACTTAGTGACGATGGAATGGCCAAGAATAAACGATATCTTAGCTTCTGGTTTCTTTTTTCAGCTCACAATGAGACATGATGAGCCGTATGCGAGACATTAGTTGGGGCATGTCCAGGCCACCGTATTCATAGAGGTAGAAATCTTTACGCTTTTTATATCTTTGACCAGTTTGGGTATTGTAGTGCACCATTTGTGTACTGGGAATGTTTACAAGGGACATTGGAAACATATACGTATGGGAGGTATTAAATGTATATGCTGATCGGGGGCCTTAAGTTTCATTTGTTGTTCAAAGTGTTGGGGCCATGGGAAAGACGCCCGCCTGGTGCATAAAACCAAAGAAAACTGTTAAAGCAATGTTGGCAAAGTACCATATTTTCATGACATACATGGCAGAGGATTTCGTACACAGGAATTTGTCATAGCTAATCTCAGCCATGGATTTTCCACACGAAACGGATAGTGGGCGCAGAAGCCAGTCACAAGTTTGGGTCCATGCAACAAAATTATGGGAAATGTTAGGGGTATGAGAAATCTAGGCTCCTGATGATTGATCAACGACAAAAAGAATAATGGTACAAAAATCGATGCCGACATTAGACCTACAATACTTTGTGCCCTTGGCAAACCCTGGTATTCTGCTTTGAAGAATCGTATCATTATTGGGCAAAGGAAACCATGGCAATTACTCCCAAATGCCATAAAGCAAGGGAACATTTACCAGCAATGTATATACTTTGGATGCAAGCCATGCTCTGATGTCTTCTTGGGATCTAAATTATACTTGACAAAGTTCCAGGGTGTAAATACAAAATTATCTATGCTTATGGTCTTGGTCATAATTTCTCCAGATGTCAAATATTTATAGTACAGTGAATCGCAAAGAACAAAGAACAGCATGGCTGGTATGGCACTTACACAAAACAACAGCATACGTAAATGGAAGTCGGTAAAGGTTACACTTTTGGTACCCATTCCACGTAGAAGCCAATAGAAAACCATGGGTGCTCCAAACAATAAAATGTGGGCGATTAAACACCCCGATAACACATAAACTTGACATGGCAAAGATCTTATTGAAATTGTGGGTTGGCAAAGCATTCTTCAGTTTCCATATCTTTACACGTTCTCCAATTGAGGCTGCCTTGTCATATTTCTCGTCGAGTATTTCCTTCTTGTACACAATGGTGTTGGTGGTGATCATACATTCGGCCACCAGATATAACAGCACAGAACACAATGCCATTCTATGGTGTTGGAGAAGGTGTGGGTGCCAAATACCAGCATTACCCAGCTACTGCCCAATGCCAGTAGACGTATTTCAAAACGAAGACTATACAGCATGCACACCCGATACAGAGCCCAATCATTGACAAATGATATGGCGCAGTATATCAAACGTGGAAAAACCAAATAGTATAGCTGCACAGTATTTCTATGCTAAGTACTCCCTCAAATAAAGGGCTGCAAACTCAAGGAAACTCCATGGAACTCTCAGCAGCAGAAAGGGTAAAGTAATGCTACGCACCGGCATTGTATTGTTAAATTCCCATGTCCGGACATGTTCAATGCGAAAGTGATCACCTGCAAATATTATGCCATTAATTTATACATTTTATAAATAACAATTCCCATTTTACCATTCATGACCTCAATTGACTGGAAAAACTCATCTGGGTGGACATAGCCCGTCTGTATGAAAACCAGGACGAAACGCAGGACCGCAAAAAACAAATAGGTATACCAGTTTTCATCGATATTGGTTCGTCGTTTATTCCATAATTGATTAATGTTCGTACTAAGTTTCATTATTCTCTTATTTCTGGCAACTTTTCGGCCTGGCAGGAAGAAATCAAAACATTTACTAAGGATGACGTGCTAGAGCTCTACAATCAATCCTCGTTAATTCACAATGGTGAGTTGGCAAGGAAAATCATTCACAACTGATTAGTTGACATTAGATCTGTCTGATTATTTTTTCTTCGATCAAAGACAATTAAAAAGCGTTCAGTAATTTATTCGCAATATTTTAAGCATTACCCTTTTAAAAAGATGGACCACTTTTTAAAATGAAGTGTAGTTTAAATAGGCCTTAAGCTGTTGGTGTTTCAGGCTGTTGGTTGTGTTATCAATTTACTCTACCCTCTTTGTTTACTTTTTGTTTGCACTGAACATTCATTCACAATTACTTCCTTTTTATCAGATGTTGTTGGGCCATGGAAAAAGGGAAAGGTTTTCCAAAAAGTCAAACAAGATATTTGTTTTTCTCTTGTGAAAATGGAAAATACTTTTAAATAATTGTCAAACAAAGTAAGCATATCAATTCTTTTTGGAAGAGCTAAAAGAGGTTGAACAGATTGAGACCACTACACGGTCTTAGCATAAAAAACTTCTGCAATCCAGTTTAATTCAGAAAAAGTATCAATTTACAAAACCAAACATGGAGCAATTATCGGGTGTTATGATAATTATTATCATAGGCGGTGGTGTTCTGACATTTGTAATGTTGTTCATCTTCGCCAAAAGACAAATAATGCGTTTTACACTGAGAAGCCGTCGTGGTCCTCATGTCCCAGTTGGTAACGATGCTAAAAAGGTAATGCAAACGTTCAAATTCTTGATTTGGTATCCAGCTAAAGTGAGATTTGTGTGTTTTAGGCCCTCAGAAGGAAATTGAACGACGTTTGGATTGCATACAGAAGATACAAGTCGAACCGAAGTTACTGTGGAATGACGATAAGTACATACTGCAGAAGGATAAACCTTTGCCACCATATTACTATCGCATGCAGGCGGTAGATGATATCAAAATATTAGGTAAACTGTCTAGTTTGTTTATCGTTCTTTATTCATAATTCTCTTTTTTCCAAACAGAACGAGAAATCGCCAAAAGTGATGGTGCCGTTCGTCATGCCCACGAAAACTTAAGGGCTTTCTTACTTACGACTCTGTCTTCATGTCTCAATGGCACCGGACAAAGAATGATACACCAATTTTGTGATATGTATGAACATGCCCGCCACGATCCCAATGAATTCGGCAGTGAAGAGTATGAAGCATATTACCGGCTTTTGCTGAACTAATAGAAGCGTAAGTATCTTCAAATTTCCCACAAGGACTCATTAAGACTATTTATCATTTCTATAGGGCGAAACAATTAAAATCATTTAATAACTCACGGAAAAGTTCTCCTGCCCGTACACCCAAAAATCTACAAAAATGCCTTCTCTGCTTGACCCATCGCGCTTGAAGCCACCACCGGCCAACGCTGCACGTACAGTAAGTGGAGGACAGTTATCATCCGGTACCGGCGAAATAACTAGTGGCCATCAATCCAAAGTCAATCTGACACTTGGTCTGCAAGGACGTGATATGGATGGTTGTGAAATTGTTACCAACCCATTGCATTTGCAAACACCAGCCGAACGTGATATAATTATACGAAATCGTATTAAGACCCCAAATTTAGATGACATTGTCAACGACGATGCTGAGGATGAAGACGATGAAATCAATGAGGTGGGAGATGATGAAATAATGAGCATTTCATCCGTAAAATTAAATGCCAATTCCAATAAAAATGTATAAGTAATACTCATATTTGAAATAAGAACCAAAGTTTTTAGAGTGTAAGGAAAATTAAAAAAAAAATACATTCAATAAAATATACAATGACTTCCATTATTGACCGATTCTCATCAGATAAGATAAAGTCTATCATTCCCTTCTTTGCCTCTCTGAGAACACTTTCCTTTTTGGGGAAAAACACTTCAATGTCTTGTAATTTATTAAAATTAAAAACATTTTAACAATAACTATATACAGCTGTAGTAAACTAAAGCTAACTTAAATAAAACATATAACATAAAATCTATTTGCCTTGTAGCTTTGCCAGAAAATCCACAAGGAATTGATGTCTGGCCGTTATTTCGAATAAAGTCCGTCTTGGCAGCTTTGTTGCAATACGTCGGTATAGTTCTTCCCGATTTGTTGAGCCCAACTTCATTTCAATTAAAATTACTTTATCCTCATCTCTAGTCCAAGCTGCATTTAATGGTAGTGGCACTGGACGGGGAATTTCGTTTGTGTCTTCAGTGGGTTCCGTAACCAAATTCGCAACAATATCAATTTTACAGTCTTCATCGCTACAAATGTTGGATGCTGAGGCATTTCTGGCTGGAGCTGCATCTTCTTCATTGGAATCGGTGTCCATTTTAAGTGTTGGGAAAGGACTTCGTGTGATTGAGGCGTGTTCTGGTAGAAATTCTAAATCGTCCGAATGTTCTTGTTTGACATTGGTATTGGCATTTGGGATGAACGTTGAGGAAGGCGTAGTGGTGGTGGAAGTTACAGCACCGCTGTTCGCCACCGAAGACGAACTTTTCATACTAGTTTTGGTTCTGGCCACAATATTTATGTGTTCCTTGGTATCAACAACGGTGTCTTCATTCAAGTTTTGCTCATCCGATGGCGTTTCAACCATGGATTTTAAACGTTTTGCACACTGTATGGCTGAATTATTTTCATGTATGACAACCATGGGTTGGTTGCCGAACGACCGAACTGCTCTGCCGGTGCCTTGTATCAGCGGAGATTTTGTTTTCTTACTCGGAGATTTTCGTTTTTCACGGACATTTGCATGTGACTGACAAGAGGTTGCAGTGGACGAAGGTGAATTTAATGATTGATGTCCTTGATTTTTGCGAGGCGATGTTTTTCCGGTGGCTGGTGTATTGCCCGCAGTGGAAGCTTCCTCATTGAAATTCAATGATACCTTTTTAGCGTTGGGATGATGACCTTGGAAATTACTATTTAAATTGGGTGTACTCGTTGCACTTGCCGAATAACAAGTGGAGCCATAATATGACGGATTCAGTCGCAAAGCATGTGCTTTCAGAGTATTCTCATCACAAGGTTCAAACGATGAACAACTATCATCTTCTTCGGCTGTAGTATCGATTACAAGAACCTTCGATACATCTTCCTCTTCAGATTTGTCCTGTTCATCGGTAGACTCAGTGTTGGCTGCAACGTTTGCCAGCTCCGATGTAGATTGCAAACGTTTTTCGCCGTGGTCCTTAATAGCGTGGACACACCCAGTAATCTGAGTCTGAGAGGGTTGTGCAGGTGGTGTAGACGTTCGATTGTCTTTGTATGACACAGCCATAAAGGACAATTTGGCGGGCAGTAACATCTTAGATCCATAAAAAATACGTCCATTAATGTACTGCAAAATATGAGTTACAAATTGTCAATAGAAAATATTGTTTATTTATTTTGACATACATACCCTTAACTGACAAGTGGGCGCCTGGTTTTGAGTATCATTTACGCTTGAATCCATGTCCGTAATTGTCTCTACATGTTCACCTGGACGATTCGATTGCTGTTCTTTAACATTCAATATATGCTCCGGTGTCGAAAATAATCTAAAAATAGTTTTCAATGAAATTGTGTCTCCGAAAATAAAATTTATAAACTTACCTCTCGGGAGGAGTGCTTTTGGGAAACTGTTGCATAAACCAGTCTATTAGGAATTGATTACCCTTTAGGAGGGGTATGATTTTCGACTCAATCTTCTTCATAGTCACGTCCGGATCATCAGCTAATTCATTGAGGCAATTGTATATTTTGCGAATTTGGGCAGGTTGTTTGTTGAAGTAGATGTTCAATTTGTTGATGAATGTTGTCATATTAGTTATCATAAAGTGTTCAAAAAATTTTCCAATTTCTGCCGCCTCGGACGGCAAGAGAAATGTCAGGAATACTTGTGCCAATTCTGGATGGTCTGGCAAAAACAGTTTTTCCAATTTCTACACAAAGCAAAACGATTAGAGGTAAATCAAATAGAACCTAGAACATACTTACATAATATAAGTCCGATACTTTGTCCTTTTTGGGATCAAATGTTTTTAAAATAGTGTTAAACTTTTTGCAATCATCTGCCCTGTTGGATGCCCTGAATGCTTCCTCCACTTTCTCATAAAAATTAAATGCATAAACTGCAAAGAAAAATGAATTAAGTTAAGGAGAAATCAGAGAAATTGTTGTTCATTCTCTTACTTGCATCTTTACGATTAGCTTCCTCTGGAGTATCAGGCAGTAACATGTGTCTGAAGTTCTCCTCCTGCCGATTAATTTTTCTAGCCATTCTTTGAGTTGATGGACTGCTCTCATCTTCGGCATTTGAATTGCGGGAACGTTTTAAGCCACTGGGACTGGAGTTTCCTCCATTGTTGTTACTGGCACTCTTGTTGCAAATCATTTTCAAGCCCTTTAGCAGGTTTGTGTACAATTCCAAAGCCTTAAACCTTCGATAGAAATGTTGTACAATTGGTGAGTGTTTGTGGCGTACCTGCAGCGTCTCCAAATGTAATCCGTAGGCGGTTATTAAATCTTCGCAACGTTGTTTAATAGATCGTTTTTCTCGATAGGCTATTGATTTTCGGGTTATACTCCTATTCAACTTTGTGATGTGTGATAGAATAACAGTTCTACGCCGGTATTTGCCACACTGCTGCTTTGTTTTTAGTGTGGTATTTAAATTTTCTTTGTTGCCATCACTGAATGTTGCATTTGGTTGGGAATTTTTCGAAACTATTCCTAAGTCTATCTGCTGAGGTTGTCTATTTGTCGTGTTAATAGATTTTACGTTGGAAAGGGTAGTTACAGATGTAATTAATTGTGAAGCGTCCGAACACCTATCTCTTTCTGAATTTGAAGTTGTATCCCGTTTGGACCCCTGGGGACTTTTGGCAGTGGTGGGGTTTATTGGTGTTGTACTTGTAGCAGACTGTGCTGGATCTCCGGATGTTGTAACTGTGGAGTTGTTTGCCTCAGGACTTCTATCTATTGTAGTTGTGGGAGATTGTGTTGGCTCAGCATGACCTGTGCCAGTCGATGAATTTTCCGGTGCTGGTATTTGAGAGTTATCTTCAGCGGCTTGAGTTAATGCAGTCGTGTCCGCTGCATGATTTATTCCTTGCATGGAATCATCGGAAGAGATCGTTACGGTATCGATTGATGCAGTATTTATATCAGCCGACTGATGACTAAATGTTGTTGAAATCTGACCATACTGCGGCTGAAGTGTTTTTGTAGTCACATCAAAATTGTACGTCACAACTGGTACATCCAAGGTTGAGCTATTGGCATTACAACTTCGGTTTATATGATCAACGTTTGTATTTGTCGACGTCGCGTCCAAGAGACTTCCTGTGCTAGTATTGTTGGCGGACGATAGTAATGTGGTATTATTTAGACCAGCAACACTTGAAGTATTTGGAAGTATTGAGGGCAGGTTCGTAGCTGGAGGACTGCCAAAAACATAGTTTACATTAATGGTCAATGAACGGGGAAGCCTTCTTCTTTTTGCTTTGGGTGCGTCGTTGCTTGGTAAATTCCTTTTTCGTGTAGTTGGAGTATTGTTTTCCGACAATGTCTGCGATTCACATGGATGTGTCTGAACTGGTGTCTCATCAATATTCTCTTCCTCAGTAAGAATGTCCTCACCTACGGCTTCTCGTACAAATTCAAAAAATGAATTTCTGAATTTATCTGACACCGTCACGTTTGGATTTTTGGGTTTCCTTTTTGGTTTCGGAGGCGCAGGAGGAGCGTTTTTCTGGCATTAACAAAAAAAAAACAAACAATAACAATCAATCCAGTTATCGATAGTTTATTGTGAATTTATAAAAGGAATGTACATGAATGACAACACAACAATGCACGATGAATTGATAACTCATCTACATCAAATGTTCATTCACAGTAACGTCAAGCTAAAACACATTACACTGGAGGCGAAGCACATATTGAACAAGTCATTTGTTCGTTTCTAATAAAAAAGTATTGCATTTATTGGAAAACAGTTTTCTTTTAGCAAGAAAAAAGTCGACTAAGTAGATAAGTTAGTGGCGTTCCTTTGAAAACTGCATATATAGTAAGTACAATTTCTATAATCTATAAACCAACAAACTTTCTACTGACCACGTCACTAACATTTTAGGTACTGTCATTGAATAGTTAATCTGCCAAGCAGACACAAATAGCCAACATGTCCAAGGTTACTTTTAAGATTACTTTAACTTCGGATCCCAAATTGCCATTTAAAGTTTTGAGTGTACCCGAAGCTACACCCTTCACAGCGGTCCTGAAATTCGCCGCTGAGGAATTCAAAGTTCCTGCTGCCACCAGTGCAATTATTACTGACGATGGTATTGGTATTAGCCCTCAACAAACGGCTGGAAATGTCTTTTTAAAACATGGCTCAGAGTTACGTCTCATTCCCAGAGATCGTGTCGGCCATTATTAGGGTTAAGTAATAGTTTAAAGTAATAGACAACTAAATATTTCATTCATTTCAGAAACAACTACCTATTGTGTTAATGCTACTTTTTGTTACAATATAAAAAAGAAATGACATTAAAGCTTCTTACCTTTTGCAAATATTGTTGAAATACTAGTGGCAATTCAGAAAACCGATCTTTGGGCAAGGGCACGGTATTGTTTTCAAAGCCAATTATAGGTGTATACTCTACAGGTGGTGCCCTCTGGTGTTCAAAGTAATACTAAGGAAGATACCCTTATTTACTCACGATTCAAAAACAGTGTACTGAACCAATTACCTTGATGGGATTGTAATACTCAGCATTTCTCATTTGAACAATGTGGTCCCAAACACGCCGATGATTTTTTCCTGGTAACAAATCTTTGGTGAATCGTTTGCATGCCAATCGTTCAGCCGAAGATTTCTTAAAAATACGTTCTTTTCTTTGGCGTATGAGATTTACGTGTTTCTCCAGACCCATGGCTATTAAGTAGCATTCCACCGGCGAGAAGTGTTCTATGGTTAATACCTTGGGTGTAAACGGCATTCGTGGCAGATATTCGGGGTAAATGAAAACATCAGATTCCAAAAAACAATCCAAGAGACGGGGATGGAATCTTGGAATCTGCCGAGTATTGTGATTTCTAAAAGGAGACAACGGAAAAAGAACTTGTTGAGAAATGGTTGGTATTAAATCTAAAATTCTGTAAAAACTTACGTCAATTCCACTTCACGGTGAAGAAACTGCATCAGTGCTCTATTCTCTTCAGTATCCTGATCCAAGTCATGCGACCATTTATTTATAAGATTTATTGCCTTTTCCAAATTCCAAATTTTGAAATTGGCATTATCTTGGGACTTTTGCTGCAACTCTAAAAGCATCTCTTTAGGTTTCGATGCTAGCTTCCACAGCTCGGGATGACAATACACTTGTATATAGGTTTGCGTTAGCATTTGTACGTGTATTCGCATTTGTTGTTGCATTAAATCATATTGATATTTTGTGAATTCTTTATCTGACGGTGTTTCAGATTCAGTTGTAGTACTTGAAATTTGATTGACCTGCGCGTGTTTAAGGCTTTCAAACTTATCTATGTACTCGGCAATGGCATGCCGCTTTATTGAGATGTATTCTCCGGAGTAATTTGTTTCATATGGCACATCATATCGCGCAGCAGTTCCCTTCGATTTCTCCTTTAGAAACTTCGAACCGGTAATTACTTTTGTTCCACTCTCCATCAATTCATCTGTCGAATTGACAACCCTTGCTAGTTGAAAACAATTTGGTTGACCAGGTATAGGTACGGCAATTACATCAACTTGGGTACTTATGTTGTTGGCGGGAATGGATACTGTATTTGAAGGGGAGTTGTCGGCATTCTTTTTAGGTGTTGCCACTGGAATCATTGCCAAGGTTTCATCGTTTTCTTGAGATTGTTCTACGATATTCTGCCCATTGTGCGTAGTCGAAGGAGTGGACATAACGTCCGGATGGAAGGACATATTTTGTTGTGTAACATTATTTGATGATATTATAGAACATGACTCCGGCATAGATTCTTGTGGCTGCTGTGGCGGCTCCTGAATTGATGCCTGCTCTTCAAATTGTAATTGTCGGCTTACACATTCCGCATTTTCGCTTATTTTTTCCGGCGATGTGTTTGGTGTTGTATTTTGTTGTTCCTCTTGATAATTCAATATGAATTTACGAGGGGTCTCCAACTCAATACTATCAAATGGTATGCCTTCATTTAAGTTACTTAAAAGTTCAGTCATTAACTCCGCAATTTCTTTTTTCGAGATGTTCACATCTCTCAGCTCTTCAGCGTCAACTATAAGTGATAATATGAAATGAGTTTTGATTACAGTCAGTTTTTTATTAAATATTAAATAAAGTTTAAAATCAGCAATAATTTGTGCTAAAAACATCTATTATACTGGTTCAGAAAAAAATCATGCCTCATCAGAAGGTTGGTTGCTTTGTTAGAGTTATTTATTTCATAAATACCTACAATAATATGGAATTACATGCGATTCTTGTTGACGTAATAGTGGCTGTAGAAGAAATTATTTTCAAATTGTTCCTCTTCCCAAGGAGAGCTTAAACTGGTTCGCAACAATTCTGTCACGGGAAATATACGTGAAACCGACGATGGTGATGGTATACAGGTGTTATAACGATAGAACATTCGTCTTACAGTCGGATATTTTTGTAACGATTTTAAACTACCATCAGGATCTGCTAAATATGAATCAATTTCCATTTTCAATGATTGTGGAAGGTTTCCATTTTCGGCAGCTAAAAGTAAATGTTTAAAGTTAAAGTTTTATTTTTGAAAATATGATACAAACCAGAATCAGTTGAATCACCAAAATCAAAAAATTCAGTAACCTCACATTCCGCTGATGATATATTCACAAGTGATGTATACTGATTATGAAAGTTGTCATCTCTTTTATGATATTCCTTGCCATATTTGAGCAACATGTTTCGTGGATGAAAACTTAGACAATATATGTTGTCTTTAAGTCCTGAAAGGAAACGAGTTTTAACTGGCGGGTATGTGAGTGCAGCCATAATTGAATCGGATTTGCTTCCATCCAAGTTATAATAATCTTTAAAATCCATTTGTAGGTCCTCCCTTAGCTGTTGCAATGCATCTTGCAAATGACACAGCTTTTTCGAGTTATAAAGTCTTATTAATTTCCATTTTATCGTTACCAGTGTAGGTAAGAAACAGCCGTAATAGTGGTTTTGTGTCATATCTAAAAATTCAAATGCCATAGCCATTGGCTCATACACAAGCAAGAATTCTTGTAGATAGTCAATTTCTTGATTTGATAAACAAGGAACATTTAAGCATTTAGAGATGTCTTTGAGTTGTTCTTTGCTGTTCAACAATTGTTTTATGGCTGCATATAGAGATGTCACGGAGTAGAGACATGGCTTTACCAAGGGTTCACCAAGGAAGGACATTACAACATCTGTTTGTTCTTTTGACATATATATGCGCCAAATATTGCAGCACCTGAAATAGGAATGATTTAAAAAATTGGTGTTAAATTGTGGCCAGCGCGGAAGAATAGGATGTACTTACTTTTCCATTGAACTACTGTGAAGGGACTTTCCACAACTGTTAAGCTTCCTAAAGAAGTTGCCACCCCATATTTTGTTTAGTTTTATTATATCTAACATAAATGCATTAACGTGAAACGCATCCGGATTTGATAAAAATGTCAGTTTTTCGGCAACATCATTCAGTTGTGGATTGCACGTGTTCTGAAATACATCTTTTCCCAAATTCAATTCGCCAAAATCATCAAAATAGTTTTGCATGTTTAACGTTGTGCAGGCAACAATTTGTGTAGGAGCAATACCATATTGTGTCATAGCTGCACTATACAAATGATACAAATTCTCCAGACATGCCAAATTTTCCACACACTTTTTACATGCTAACAATGCAGATTGCCTCCGTAATTCATCATCAACCCAGTGAGCAGATATCGCAATGTAATAGAATCCGTTGTAATTCCATACATCAAGGGTACAGCAAAAATATAATGTGCTGGCATTAAATATTTGAAACAACTCCATTCGTTTGTAATCGCATGTATCCTTGACTAGTTTTTCGTAATAATTGGATGGATGTATTTCTATTGCGATATCAGCATAGGAAAACAACTCCAAAAATGCCGGTCTCTGCACTGTGTCAAATGATAGATTCGTGGTTATCAGGAACTGAAGAATTTTGTGGTGAAACTGTTGCTGTTTTTCAGCATTTTGTGTGTCAGTAATTGACGGGCATAAAGTGGTACGGTTGTTGTGATTTTTCTTGCTTAGTTTAATAGAAGTCGCAGTATAATCATTCTTTCGCCTGATGAAGTCTTGATAAATATCTGGATGTTTGGTTTTCAAATGGCAAATGAAATTTGAACTGACTTTCAGCGATCCTTTAATTTTACCACCACATGTGTGACAAATGCCAACAATACCTGTGCATTCTTTCTGGTATTCAGTGTAAGCTATCTGCAAAAAAAAAAATGAATTGTGAATTGATAACGATTTCGCTACAATTTGTTGCTATATACTACCGTATGATCAATGTAAAAATATTTTCCACTAGTAAATAATAGTTTGTTGCCGGTACTTAAATAGATTGAAGTTTCTTTTCCGTCAGTGGTTTTAATTTGGGTCAATGAATCTGAGTGATTCGCATCGAATTGCTCTTTGTCCTGTATGAAGTTGCTCGTACTGCTGCCACTGCTAAAATATGGAAAGTTTATCAATGATTGGATATAAATGTATATTCCAGTACTTACAAACTGCTGTCCTCGCACTCATATTTTATGGAAAACGAACAAGTATCACTCATTTTACACACAATTCATTAAGCACTTCGGAGGAGTCTAGGGGTTTTCACAAATCACAACAGCATATTTAGCATATGTAATAGTATTGCACTTTGTAATTAGTATAATTAACTTTTCAATTTATCAATTAACTTGTTCCTGGCTTATGCAGTTGTATATTGTGAATGCCGATAGAAAACAAAGACATTAGATATGACAGTGTTGCCATAGCTCACAACGTAATCTTGCTTCATATTATACCAATTGATAAAGACCCCAAAATGTTTTACTCAATCGGGATGTTATGTTAAAATAATTTTTCGGTAGGACGAAAAGAAAAGGATTACAGGACCCACAAACTCACTTTATGGGAGGGCAGTTGCCAATTTCTATCATAAGTTAATACGTAAAAAATTTGTTTAAACATATCAGGCAAATCTTTAATGTACATACCCAGTTCTTTTTCAGCTGCAACATATTCGGGGTCATTAATGGGATCGTCATCATCTCCTACTAAACTAGAATCTGAAACAGTTTACATTATTTACTTTGTGTGACTTATTTTTAAGATCAATATGAAAACATACTCAGTGGCTTTAAGAAATCGGTTAAAAATTGATTCCAATCTTCATCGACCACCTGAGAATCTGGTTCTGCCGGCTCAGTGTAGTCAACATCGGGTGGAACAAATTCAGACTCAATATCTTCTATGGTGGTTTGTTGCAGACACAATTTCGATCGCGTTCGAGTTGCGATTCTGAGCTCTTCTTGGGGACCCTTTTTATTAAGCGGTACCTTGAAACAGCCATCCTCAGTAAGTTTTACAGGTGAATCATCCGGTTCGGTTTGAACGGCTGGAGTTTGAGGAGTTCGCGGATTGGAGTCCAAATCGGAAGCAGTTGTGTTTGGATCATCATCTGACTGTAAATGACAACAGATAAATTACTGAAATAATGCGAATATCAAGAAAGAATCTTACCACGAAATCTTCTTCTTTGAATGTATATTCTTCATCTTCTTCGTCCGAGTTCAGCTCTTCATTAATCAGTGATGCTATTTCTGTTTGCTCTGCACTCAGGATTTTTGGCAATGAAATAATCGGCTGCTTCTTGAGTTCCTTTGCTTTCGAACGGGTTAATTTTGGAATGGATGGAGTATCTGTTATAATAATGGCTCTATCTTCAGCCTTAAGTTTCTCACGAGCCAGCTCATCTTCAGCCTTCAAGGTTATGAGTGCAAGGATGTGTTCATTTTTAACGAATTTCTAAATTAAGAACAAAATCAATCAAAGCAAATCTTGCGCACGTACATAAATGAAAACTTACGTGTAGGAGTTTCATCATTTCTTCATGAGACAATGCATTTTTACGCGCCACTTTACGTAGCCTTGTTTCCAAAGCAACTGCATCCTCCAAATCACAGTCTTCAAATTCTGATTCAAAATCACTGAATGTAAGAATTTCACAACGTTTTCTGCAAAGTATACATATATGTAATAAAATTTAAGTTTATTTAAAAAATCTTGTTATTTTTAAACTATTGAAGATTACACGCAAATAAATCACAATAGAGTTGCCTTTAAGGGGGTAATTACATTCCCCTACACATTTGTTGCTGCTTAAGACTACAAGTCAATTCTCCTATATTGTTAGCGAAAAAGACCTCGAAATTTAAGAGGAATTCTGTAGTTCTGTTTGATAAAAAAAAACTTTTTTCACAAACCTTTTCCTGCTTTTATTTGAACTTGTACTGGAACCACTTAAATTTTGCCTACTATTGTTGTCATCGGGCTCTTCAGGCGATGCCTGGCTTGTGCCACTTTGATTCTTTTTGGATGCTGACTGACGCATTTGTCTTGCAAGATTTTATCACCAATAGCAACAATTATGTGCCAACACTCTTCACATACAAATTAAATACACTTTCCAGTGAAAAATGCTAAAATATTTCCGAAATTTTCGCCATAGAGGACGAGGACGACGCTTGTTTCTATTGTCAACAACCAGCTGGTGTTAAATTAATGTTGCCACATTGTTAAGTGTAAACACTATTGTGAATGGTATATAAGAATAATGAAGCTGTATGGCCACATATTAAAACATCACTTGAATTTGTTCAATTTGTTTTGTATTTGAACTGGAACACATTGCACACAAAACGAATCGAAATTCGTTATTTTACAAAAGAGAAGAAACAAAGAAAAAATGATCAACCAGATTAATAATTTTTAACAATTGCCTAGACTTCACACGAATGACTTTGTTTTTGTGATAACAATTACATAAATTCACTCGTCTCGTATTACAGGTGGCTTTTTTCAGTGATATTTGCTCTATTCCAGTATCTACAATAATCTACTAATTTTGGAATTTTCTTCGATATTATAAAGGAAAAATCTGTTATCGTAGTAAAATGTTTACATTCTTGCAGTTCTTGAACAGACCAAATTATGTATGTATCTAATACACCTTCCCCATCATAGTAAAATGTTTCGAACATCCGTATTATCCAGATACGCAAGGTCCACATCTTCAAACCAACCAAATAAAATCACATGAAAATAAAAATTTATTAAGAATTCTTCCAAATTAACATTGTACAATGAAATGAAGGTAACCTCATTTCAAATAAGCATACCCAACTCGGCATTTTCTATAATTTAACTTGTCAAATATCAATGCCTAGAAAACAGTTCACCTCTTCGATTTTATAAACATAGATTTTGACAATGAGATGTTGCCTAAGGAAAAATTTTGAAAAAATTATATTACATATGACTGCATCACTTTACCTTATTAGTTCTACTATGCAAATTAACATTCTTCCAAACAACACATCACTATAAGATATGATAAGATATGTCAATCTTGAAATTGTTCAATATTAAAATACATTCAATATAAAAATATCATTGTTTAATTAAGAATTTTTCCGATAAGTTTGCAAAAGTTCCAAACAGGAAAAAAGCGGTTATCTTTGACACCACATAATTTCAGTAATCCGTGTATGCACTTTTCATTGGATTTAATAAATGCTCTCTTCCCGAACCTGCTATTTTTGCAATTTTTTTCGATACCATAAAGGGAAAATCGGTTATCGTACCCCACAACACAACTTGATGTGTGGCCAATGATCAACCACAGGCACGTTTGAAAAATCGATTGCAAATTTAAATTAATCGAAAGTCGATACGTAAGAACCGGTGCGTTGTTGTTTTTGGGGTGTTGCGGGGAGAGATTGCAAACAGAATAAAAATTAACTTTTACGTGGAATTTCGAGAGTGTAAGTAAAAAACTAATAGATTGAAAAGAATGGTTTTGATATTGTGTTCCTGGTTTCGAAATTGCGTTCCTGGACAAAAAAGTACTTTGTTTAGGAAGTACAATAGGATTCACAATGCGACACCTCCACTTAGCTGCATATGTTCTCCTTATCATGGCATGATATTAACAAATGCCCAAATGCCAGTCTGAAAATTAATCAATCAATCAATTAATGAGGGCTCTTGAATTGTTGATGACACTTCCAACCTGCAAAATTAGTTTTATTTGGCGCCTATTAAGACCGAGTCTTCCAATTAACCCTTACTGCTACCGGCAGCTGTGTGTGAGTGGTTTCAGAGATCTCCTCACCAGCATTGTTCAGCAGCTGTTCGTCTGCATTATGTTTAAAATGCATAAATAAGTCTATACCACAATTTCCTCAGTACTTCAGTACAAAAATATTTTTGATACGTTAACTGCTATAATATAATAAGATAATTCCCGCACTTGTACAGATGTATTAGATTAATGCTATAAAAAACGCCTGTGTATGCCAGATCATTAATGAGTCTATATTTTCAGACCACTTTGAGGAAATCAGCCACGATGGGTGTATCGGAAGCTGAATTAGTATTGTATGCAATTATATTCGTTTGCATATTTGAAAATCTTTTTGAAATATACATTTCCTTGAGACAGGTATGTATTACATTATGTTTTGCAACATTAACATCACTTCAGTCATTTAAATTTCGAAAACATATGACTGTATCTTTCAGGTCAATGTCTATAAAACAACCAATAAAGTACCGGTCGAACTGAAGGATCATATGAATGAAGAAACATTTTTCAAAGCACGCATTTATGGTTTAGACAAGGAACAATTTGGAATTTTCAAAAGTATTCTATTGGATGTAATCGTTATTCCGTTGGAACTGTATTGCGGCATTATCTCCCTATTCTGGCAAACATCGTTGCATATTGTTGACAAATTGAATTTCGATGTCAACAATGAAATCCTTGTGAGCTGTGTTTTTGTTGTTGTCATTGGATTATACGGTTATGTTAAGGAGCTGCCCTTCAAAGTATATGGAACCTTTGTGCTGGAAGAAAAACATGGCTTCAACAAACAAACACCGGGCTTCTTTGTGTGGGATCAAATCAAAGGACTGTTGTTGAGCAACATTCTCACCGTTCTGCTGTCGGCTGCTGTGGTCTTCATTGTACAGTGGGGTGGGGAATACTTCTTCATTTATTTGTGGGCATTTGCTGGTATTATCTCTTTGGTCTTGCTGACAATTTACCCCATATTTATTGCACCTTTGTTCGATAAATACACACCACTGGAAGAAGGAGATCTTCGCACTGCAATTGAGAAATTGGCTGCATCTTTGAAATTCCCACTTACCAAATTGTATGTGGTTGAAGGATCGAAGCGTTCGTCACATAGCAATGCTTACTTCTATGGTCTGTGGAATTCCAAACGTATTGTTCTTTTCGACACATTGCTGTTGAACAAGGGAAAGAAAGATAACACTGAAGTTAAAAAGGAAGACGAAGGCAAGGGCTGTACCAATGATGAAGTCGTTGCTGTCCTTGGTCATGAGCTTGGCCATTGGAAGTTGGGACATGTTACCAAGAATATTGTAATTATGCAAGTTAATCTCTTGTTATTGTTCTTCGTCTTCAACTATTGCTTCAAATATGCCCCTTTCTATGAGGCATTGGGATTTGCTCCAGGTGTACGTCCTATTCTGGTTGGTCTCTTCATTGTCCTGACCTATGTCATGGCACCATATAATGCCATTTTAAGCTTTGCCCTGACAATTCTTTCCAGACGTTTTGAGTATCAAGCTGATGAGTTTGCCCAGAAATTGGGTTATGCCGATCTTTTGCAAAAGGCTTTGATCAAATTGAATTTGGATAATTTGGGCTTCCCCGTCCATGACTGGCTATATTCGTCATGGAATCATTCACATCCTACGTTATTGCAGCGCATGAATCGACTAAAAGTATTGGAAGCCAAAGACAAGAAAAGTCAGTAGAGGAGTAGAAAGTGGAGATGTGCTTTTGATTTGCACAAAAACTATAAAACTGGGGCTGGATTCTTGTTCCATGAAAATATAAAATGAAAAATATTTTCTTTATAAAATTTTTCATTTGACATTTCGTTTCTTTATAAAAGTTTTCATTTCACATTTTCATAGAACAAGAATCGAGGCCCTGCTTTCCAAATATTTTCACTGAAAAACCATTTATAAACTTTTTTTAAAAAAAGAACACTTTTTTATTGTCTATAAATATTGTAATATTCCTTTGTATAGCGCTTGTGAGATTTCATAAGCATTTAGAATTATAACAATGTTTTTTAAATTTAATTTTCAATAAAATTTCAGTACAAACAAGTTGTGTCTTTACATGTTGTATTGGGTAAAACTTTCGCTTTAAGGGGGTCACATATAGGTAGGTGAAATTTAGTTATTGGGAGGGAGAAGGTGTGAAAAGGTAACATGTAACTTCTTCCAGATAAACTTACTTTTTCTTTTAAAAACGTTTTGTTTGTGCTTCCCGATTATTAATAACAATTCAAATAGCTATAATGTTTTTCCTAGGATTCTAAGTTTTGAATTGCATGTTCAAATTGACCTTTTTAGCTTTGAATTGCATTTCCTATTTCAATGGCACTCACAACATAAGCATTTGCAGCTTTCCTAAAATAAGCATCCCTTATACATTTTGGTACACATTCTAAATTCCGTTTAGTCTTCACCAGCTCAAGGTTATTGTATTGTTTTATGGCAACCTCTAGTTAAATAGTGTCAGTAAATTTATCCAACAAATGAAGGTAAATAAATGCAGTACACATTGCCAAAGACAAGAAGATTACGTTGATGCGAAAAGTAAACACGACAAAGTTGATATATGTAAGAGACAGAGGAGTAGCACAGAAGGATGGAAAAAGAAAATTTAACCAAGGTCTAAAAAGATTTGAACAAGATGAGTGGGATGAAGTGGCAATGCCACAAATTTTAGGAAAAACTTTTAAAACCATTTTTACCAGCCAGAGTTACACATACATTCGTATGTCGTTCTTTGGGCATGTTGATGTAACGAATGCACTGACTTGGAAATATTTTTATTGTAAAAATGTTTACCAAACAAATAAATATCTAAAGATTGTGGGTATGCACTTCCAAACTCAAATAAAAATACTAAGAGAAAGACATTATAGTTCTTGTGTATACTTTCTATTATGGGATTGGGCTTGGGGCGATAGCAAAAAGATTTAGAATCTGTGGCCCTTTGTGTATATGACTACGAGTAGGGGTCTTTAAGTTATAAAAAAGGAATTAAAGAATAGTAAAATGTTAAATGCTGCTGAAAGTTAATGTTTTCATTGAAATCAGTAAATTTTAATTTGTAAAAGGATAATGACCTTTGGTAATGCTCTTGTATATTATTAATAACAAAACAAGTAATCTATAATACAATACGACAAACAGGTGGAATAACTTGAAACACTGAATTGTACTTCGTCACGTATTGTATTTGTCTCAGAAAAATGTCACTTTTTTTGGTCTAGACGTTAGCTAATTTATAATGCATAAACCTAACTAATGTAACTAATTAATAAAATATACAAACGGCAATTACCTATGCATAGAAAAAAATAAATGTTATTAAGGATTTTTGTCCGTAACATATTCAGAGTATTATTTCTGAGAATCCATAGGTTTATGCTTGGAATTAAGTATATTTACATTAGAGCTTCTTGCCAGGATAACCTTTATTAGGATTTATTTGGACTGAGCAATTTACATCCACCGCAAATACTGAAAACTGTAAACTAGTATTAGGGAAAAATAAAGTAACTCGAGGTTCAGATATCATCTATTTTGAAATGGCAAATACCTTGGGTATAGGTAAATAAGGGAGGTAATTTTAAGTAACCCCCTTTTTATCTACATATCCTAAAAATCAACAAAGTCAATACGATGGAATTAATGGAAAAAGCATTGGGAGAATTAGGTGAAAAAAGTTCTCTATAATTTTATTAATACTTTGTTTGCTGTGCAATTATAACTATGAAAGAAATGTGACTTAGCTTTTTCATTATTTGTTTCTGTTAAATTACATTGCAATTATTTTGCAGTTCATTTAACAAACTTAAGCTCATTTATCATTCTCACATCGGCAAAGCAGATAGCTTTCACTTGATAGTTGCAGCTTACATATGTTGCAGGTTTCCTTTTTTCAAGTTGACGGCAGAAGAAAGTCTATACTTAACAAAAAGTTTTGATGAGCAGTAACTATGTAAGTAGACTAAAAAACGCCAAGTATATCTAACAATATTTAAAATTCTCTTAACAGAACAGCTGCTGCAAACGGAAATGCTGGTTGTTGTTTCTTTTGAGTGAAATGTCCGCCATAATAAAAAAGAAAACAACAACTTGAGAAATTCAATATGGCCACGGAGTTTGGTAGCATCAACGAAACACTATCTGCTGGTTTGGTTTCAAATCAACTGACTCGCTTGCTGGCTAGCTGACAGACAGACTGACAGGTCAAAGTTTGCCTAGAGGAATTTGAACAAATATCAAAGAACAAAACGGCAAAACATTACCCCCCAAAACATGGAAAGGAACATGAAAAGCAATTACAATGTAGTTGTGGGTTTTACTGTAACTTAAAGTGAACTCTCATTTTCCCACTTAGATTTATTGAATGTCAATGTCTTGGGGGAAAATTGCCGAGTTTTGGTGGTGTTAAAGGTTTTGTTGAATTTTAGTGCATGGTTGGTCTTTTTGTTTGAAATTGGCCCAATTCTGCCGCTTGTGTTGTGCTGTTTCCGTTTTGTTTTATATTTTCCAACAACAAAAACTACAATATTCTCCCAAATTACCAAAGACTCGCGAAAAGCACAGCACATTTGTTTTAACGACCTAGTCAGTCAGTTAGTACGTCCCTTTTCCATGTTTTTTTTTTTTTTTTTTTTTGAGTTCTCACCCAAGGAAACTTTTTCCAATTAAAGTTTAATGATAACAGTTGAAAAATAAAAGAAAAAACAAATACTAAAATTATGGCGGAGCTCTTAGAGCTCAAGTGAAACTTTGTTGGGTTCATATTGCCTGGCGTGGCTGCTACTGCTGTTGATGAAGATGAAAAGTATGTGTAAGTGTGTTTGCATTTGTTTTTGACTGAAGTTTTTCTTGTTTTTGTGCACAGCGACAAGTGTTCGGCATATAAATTCCGACATTTATGGCCCCAACTACGTTTTGGCGTTGCCTATTTAAAATAACGATAATTACAATGTTCGATGAAGGAGAAGAAACTTCAACTATAAAATTGTTAAATATCGAAAAAGTTTTTTTCCCCAAAAAATTATTTGTGTTTATTGGAAAGAAAAGTTGCTCATTTCGCGTGGAAGGCAAAATGCAGCAAAAGGAATGCAATTGGTTTTATGTAAGAATTTCGAAAACAGTCTTGCAAAAAATTGCCTCTTTAAAATGAAAGTCCATTTAACTGCTATTCTACCCACCCACTTGATTGTTTTTTTGTTTTCTTTGCAAAAGTGATGTCCATAAGTGTCGGGAAATGGCATTTTTTATTGCCTTGCAACAATTTCAATACTTGCAATAAGAAACAATAACCAACAAAGACATTGGATTGGTAGGACACTTAAAATTAAAAGCGTTTAATATTGTTGACATGCAATATCAAAGTAAACGACATGAGTATTGCTACCAATTCTGAAAATTTTTAAAAGTATAATATTCTGTGTTGAATGGAACTGGGTAGCAGGCGGCGGAGGAACCATAATGTTATAATACATTTGGATTTTTATAAGGATTATCGAAAATTGCACATCCATGACGATTGTTTGACTAACATTTATTGTTATGGCTTGGAAATTTTGGCTCCGATTCCTGTTATCTTTTTTCTCTAAAGTCACAACATTAAGAAAACAACACTAGAGCATTTCGTGTCAATTTTCTGTTGTATTAAGTGCTGGAATATGGACATAAATGGTATTTACAAAACAAAAAAAAATACCCGAATTTATTTGATTTATTTAAGAAAATCACGAAATGCTTTCACTGCCAATTACGAGGATGACATAAAAATTATACTTTCAAACATCTTCGGGGCCGTAATGTGGAAACAAATGATGAGGTCAGTTGAGAAAAACATCATAAGAATAAGAAGTTCCCGCAAATAAAAGTGAGGTCATTTATGTAATTAAAGGAAACAAATAATGATTTGTTCCAGAACTTCAAGAATGTAACAGGTTTTCCCTTTATGATATTAAAAAAAAGAAAATGCAGAACTGGTAGATTCTAGCAGGTTATGGAACAGATTATATATATTTATTAAATGGAATACATCATGGTAAATATTGAAAATGGTACCCTTTTTGGCATGGCCTGCATATAAAAATACATCCCAGTGTTTATTAAAGATATTACCATTAAAAATGTATTACAGTGGAAGGGGTTTTTTAAACGGGTATATGAACTAAATTATTTAACCAAAATTGTTAAAATATCCTCGTTTCCTATTATTTCCTTCTCTCATAACTCACAAAGAGGATTATGTTGTGCAAAGAAAATAAAATGCAACAAATATTTCAGAAAATAAAAAAAACAAATCTCTCTCAACAATGACATGGGTGTTGACAATGGCAAGTAAAACTGTGACAAATGCCAGACGTGTATCAACACTTCGTGTGGTAACCACAAACAAAAATTTATTTAAAACAAGACATACAAATCGGAAGATATAATCAATTTAAAAAAAAATATTTGGGACAACTTGTTATATATAATCAATATGGAAATGCAAATGGGGAGAAGTAGTTACTATTTTCATTTTGTTGTTTTTTTTTTCAATATTGAGAGTAAATCTAAATACAAATATATCTCTAAACGTAATGGACAATATGAAGAAGGCTATGTGCATAATCTGCATACGGCTATGAAATTTCTAACAAATTAAAAAATGCAACAACAGGACATTTGCTATAGAAGAATACAGGAAATTAAAAATTATTAAAATTTGTAAAAATTGTTGAAAAACGTATATTTTAATAACCTCCGATTGACGTCTTATAGGAAAACATATAAAAATCTGACATATCAATGTTCCCAAGGGTTGATACATCTACCCGTGTTCTCCTACGTGGTTGTAATAATAAAATGTGAACTAATTTGTAAAGTTGTAAATTTGATTTTTTTGGATTACTTAAAAGTTCAGTAAAGGCTCTATCAGACGAAATATTTTCTATGCATATATAATTCAATTGGAGGTTATTATGATATGCATTTTTTTAACAATTTTTATAAATTTAAATAATTTTTCATTCAAAAATTTCAGTTTCAAAAATTAGTTTGACAGTACATTGTCC